ACTACTACTACTACTACTACGACTACGACTACGACTACGACTACTACTACTACTACTACTACTACTACTACTACTACTACTACTACTGCTACTACTACTACTACTACTACTACTACTACTACTACTACTACTACTACTACTACTACTACTACTACTACTACTACTACTACTACTACTACTACTACTACTACTACTACTACTACTACTACTACTACTACTACTACTACTACTACTACTACTACTACTACTACTACTACTACTACTACTACTACTACTACTACTACTACTACTACTACTACTACTACTATTACGACTACTACTACTACTACTAATAACAATAATCATAAGAATATTACTACTACCTGTACGACTACCACTGATAATAATACCCCTCCTACTACTCCTCCTCCTATTCCTCCTCCTCCTTCTTTTCCTCCTCGTCATCCTCCTCCTCCACCTCCTGATCGTCCTCCTCCTCCTTCTCCTCTTCCTCCTCCTCCTCCTGCTGCTCGTCATCCCTCGTTATCCTTATCCTCCCGCTTCTGCTCCCCTTGCTCCTCCTCTTCTACGCACCTGAACCTCATCCACATCCACATTCGCACACGCATCGTCTGCCCACTTCTCATATCATCCTCATTCTCGTCCTCATTCAAACCCCTCTCCTTCTCCTTTTCCACTTCTCACGGCCGCCGCCCTGGCTAACTGCGGCCGTCGCGACACGGCGGTGATGACGGATCAGAGATAGCGACAGACCAGCTAGCCTATCGTGCATGAGGCCCCAAGAAGAAATCGTCGTCGTCGGCGTCACGGTCAACATCTGCTTGAATCATTTCCCAAACTTGCTCTGCTGCCTTACTTCCTCCCACGAACAGAACTCCGGTTTCAAACCTTCGCGCCGTCCCAAATCTCTGCGGCTGCGTATCCAGTCGCAGCCGTAAGCGGAAAACGCACATCCAAGAGCAACAACATGCGGGCGCGAAATTGCGGTAGCAGGAATAAGCACAATACAATAACCCGCGATAGTAGCAACAGAAATGAGTAGAAGAGTAGAAGGTGGCACTAGCAGCGGCGAATCAGATACCAACAATTGAAAGAGCAATAGTCCGCCACCGTGCCATGCGGCACGAGGTGCAGTGTCCTCCGGTCCCTTGTTCGATCTCCTGAGCCTCAGTCCTCAACCCTCAGGAGTCTTTACAGGGCCCGGACCCCAAACTCTCAAATGTTCTGGGGCTTGGCGCGGGCCCCGTGGGTTCCCCCGAGTGGAGGCGCATGACTGTTTCGGGGCCAAGAGGAGCCCAAGACGGACCAATAGACCTCCAAGAGCCCGTCCAGACGGTCCAAAGGGGATCCGAATCGCGACACGATCGGTCCTAGACGCTCAAGATGGTTGCAAGGTGGCCCAAGAAGCCTTCGAGCCCCAATACTCCAAGAGCCTTCCCAAGAGGGCCCCGAGAGGCCAAAATCATTGACTCCCATTAGCTATTTCAATGTTTTTCCGGTTCTCGACTCTTCGAGCTTCCGACGCTCCAAGCCATCCCAAGAAGCCCCCAAGACCGCCCCAGAGACCCCCAAGAAAACCTCAGCACGGCCCGAGAGGGCCCAAGACGGCCCAAGAGAGCCCCAAGACGGCCCCAAGAGGTGCCCAAGAGTGGGAACCCGAACCGACAATTCAAGCCTTCCGTCCCAAGATGCATCCAAGACGTCAAAGATGGCCTCCAAGACGGCCCTGGAGCACGCCAAGAGGGCCCCAAGTCGCCCAGAGAAGCCCCCAAGACGGCCTCCGACGGCGTCAGACGGGCCAGGAATACCCCAAGACGGCCAAAGAGGCCGACGAGAAGCCCCCCCAAGGCCCCCAAGAGGTCCAAGGAAGCCCCCAAGATGCCTCCAAGAGACCCCCAGAAAGCTCCCAGGAGGTCACAAGAGTGCCCACAGAAGCTCCCAAGATGCCCCATCCTTTTCCTCCTTCTCCTGATCTTCCCCGCCATCCTCCCCCAAGTGTTACCCGAAGGGTTTCCACAACGGCTGGGGGAACAGATGGTCCGATGGCTTGGCAGAGCTCTTGCCACAACGCTCGGCCACATGCGCGATTCCAAAGACAAGGGGCGGCGGTGATTCGCCGTAGGCGTCTTCGATAAGAATCCGCAACCGTGCCGTAGGCACTGAGAGGTGGAATGTCCTCTCAATTTTGATGATTCCCTACCTAGGCTCTGCCTAGAAGGGTTCTTACTCGCTAAGCTTAAAGGGCCGGACAGTGGTCCTCGCCCCAGGCGGTTCCCCCGGCATCCGCCCCGCGGTTCCCCCAGTTACGCCCCCTTAGCTTAGCTTTGCTTATCTCATCGCCTAGCTTAACTTAGCTTAGCTTAGCTTAGCCTAGCCTAGCCCAGCTTAGCTCAGCTCAGCTTAGCTTAGCTTAGCCTAGCCTAACTTAGCTTAGCTTAGCTTAGCTCAGCTCAGCTCAGCTTAGCTTGGCGCAGCATTAGCATAGCATAGCATAGAATAGCATAGCAGAGCACGTCATAGCATAGCATAGCATAGCATAGCGCAGCAGAGCATAGCGCAGCAGAGCATAGCATAGCATAGCATAGCACAGCACAGCACAGCATAGCATAGCATAGCATAGCCCAGCATAGCATAGCATAGCATAGCTTAGAATAGCATAGCACAGCGCAGCATAGCATAGCATAGCATAGCATTGCATAGCATAACATAGCATAGCGCAGCATAGCATAGCATAGCATAGCATAGCGCAGCATAGCATAGCATAGCATAGCAAAAAAACAACATCAACAGCAAAAGCAAAAGCAACAGCAACAGCAAAATCATTATCCCAGTGCGACCCTACCTAGGAGTTGGAGGATCTAGGAAAGCAACATCTATATGAAGCTAAGCTAAGCTAAGCTAAGATGAAATAAGCTAAGCTACGATGAGATAAGCAACGCTAAGTTAAGGGAACGTAACTGGGGGAACCGCGGGGCGGATACTGGGGGAACCGCCCGGGGCGAGTTGCACTGCCCGGCCCTTTAAGCATACCGAGTAAGAACCCTTCTAGGCAGAGCCTAGGTAGGGAAAAAGCAAAGGCAAAGGCAAAAGCAAAGGCAAGAGCAATAGCAAAGGCAGTGCAAAGCAACAGCAAAACCAATGCGAAAGTGTAGATGTAGAATTAGATGTAGGTGTAGGTGTAGATGTGGATGTAGGTGTAGATGTAGATGTAGATGTACATGTAGGTGTAGATGTAGGTGTAGGTGTAGATGTAGATGTGAGTGTAGTTGTAGATGTAGATGTAGATATCGATGCATGTG